TGCCAGGGTCTACAGTGAAGCTTTCAAAAAAGGTCCTATGCTGAGTCATTTCTCTTTCTTTTGACATTGACTTGCAGTCTGCTGGTTTTCTTCATGCCAAATATCCTCACAGAGATACTGTTGAAAGCTGATAGCAAAAAAATGAGTAATGCTTAATTACATATGTTAAAGTCTAAAAGGCAGTTAAGGTCAATGCAAGCAAAACCGTGAATATAGAAGGAAGAGGAGAGGAGAGGGACTGAAATAAGTCATACAGGAGCATAAACATGACCTGAAATGATGAACCAAGAAAGTGGAAGGAGGTTACAGCCATACACCACTAACAATGATGAGTAACGTTCTGAGAGATGGGTTGTGGGTTTACTGTGTTATGGGACCATCACAGGGAGCACTTACACAAACCTAGCCGACTGCAAGGCCAGGCTGGATAGAGTAACCCATGCTTCTCTGTGGGCTGTGCAGTCCATTGTTGATCAAAATGTCCTTCTGTGATACACAACTGTATTTAGAGAATGGTAGGAACCATCAGAAGAACTAGAAACAGTTTTTGTTTTCTTGGAACAGTCTGGGTATGTAGCCCTGGCTAGCATTGAACTGACATCCACCTATCTCAGCTTTCTGAGGACTGGGATTATAGGTATGTAATACTGTGCCTGGCTAAAATTGGAAAAAATTTAAAAAAGTTATTAGTTTTATTTTATGTATTGCCTATATGTATATAATATCATCAGTGTTATGCAATCCCTGTGGAGGTAAGAGGAGGGCATCAGATCCCCTGGCACTGGAATTTCAGATGGTTGTTAGCCTCCATGTGGGTGTTGAGAATCAAATCTGAGTCCTCTGCAAGAGCAGTCAATGCTCTTAACTGCTGAGCCATCTCTCCAGGTCCTAGAAATATTTTTTTTAAATGATTGCTCCTTATGGAAGGTATGGGCTCTGTACTATAACCTCTCCGGATCATTGATTTTGCTTGTTTTTGTGCCATATGCTTATTACTTTGGTAAATGTAAGGTTCTAAGTTATATTATCATCTACTTGATGGAAGAATCACATTTGAGTTCATGGCATTGTGAATAGCTAAGAGTAATGTTTATAGCCTGCCTTATCTGCACTGTGGCTGATTCTGAGCACTTTTATTTTTTTATGGTGTTTTTGAGACAGGGTCTCTCTATGGCCCCAGCTGGCCTAGAACTACTATGTAAACCAGGCTGGCCTTAAACTCACAGAGATCCGCTTGCCTCTGCCTCTGGAGTGCTAGGATTAAAGGGGTGGGCCACCACACCCAGCCTGAGCATTGTTTCAAGACTACTTCCGGGAGTTAGAGACATATCAGGAATTATTACAAAGCCTCTGAATTATAATTTTGTGATTACTCTATTTTTGTTTAACTTTTACTTACAGATATATTTTAGTGAGAAAGAAACAAGGCAGATTTATGGTTTCATTGTTTATGGACATATAAGATATTTCAGACACAGGATTTGGAGCAATGGAGCTGGAACTGACCTGGAAGCCACCTCCCCTGAAGGCTAGCTCTCATAGCTTTGGAGAGCACTATGTAAGCTGGTAAGGGAGAATAGCAATCAGTGGTCCAATCCTAGCTTCAAGGCCTAAAAATCACATCAATGACGGCATAACAAACGACATTGGTACAGTAGTGGCATTTTTGTCTTGGGGTAATCAACAGCTACCTAATTGGACTTAAAGTCCACTCAATGGGTGGAAACTCATATGTGGTACTGTAACTCTAGCCAAATACACATAGCTGGAGAGGTCATAGATCTTAGAGAAAAACCCAAGGCTGTCATATCCCTAGACAAAATAATTTCTTACTATGTGCAAAATATGGATTTTTAAATTTACAGACAAACATCCTAGTCACCACCCATCAAAGAAACTTTTCAACAGAGAGATAATTACAGAGTTCCACAACTGGTCACACACAGAAATTGTCTGTGAATTGTCCAAGCCTAAGTGGCACATCGAGGATGCAACCTGTACACCTATGGCTCATGGAACATAGAACAAGGGATGAAGAGAACACTAATGCATCTTTCAGTTCTCATCAGTGAAGCTCCCTCATGCAACAGAGGGCCAGGAGCACAAAAGTCATAAATGGCCAAAACAAGGAGAATAAGAGTCTACAGAGTGTGGGTCCTTGGACAGGATTCTTGTATTAAAATCTACCCACCCAGGGCTCAGGGGCCATTGTGGAAAGGGGGAGGCGGGCAGAAAGATTGTAAGAGCCAAGGAGAGGGTGCACAGACATATGCAAATAGAGTCCTACAGGCTCCTGGAAACACTTCTCATATCGACCTACAGCAATGGTGTCTTCACGCACAAGACCCATGAAAACTCAAGCAGGCAAAAATCCAGCACAGCCCTGTGGAAGTGAACAGCAGACCCCAATCTCAGTCGAAGAATTATTGGCAGCTGATTTAAAAAAAGTCTCCAACAACGTCATGTCAATATTTGCTTTCTTGAATTTTAGAATTGCTTCAACAATATTAATAGTAATAACCAACCTATTATATAAAGTGATATTTTGTTGTTGCTTGGGTCTATAGCCCACAAATTATGTATAACTAAGTATGAAAATATTCTTATTTAACAGATACCATGTGCATTGAAAAAAAAATTTTTTTTTAGTTATTAGCCTGAGCCTTTAACAGTTGAGCTATCCCTCCAGCCCTAATGAAAAAGTTTTAAATATAGAGTTAATTATTTTCGTGGAATGGTTATTAGTTTAATATATTATTGGCGTCATTTCCCCAGTGTGCATTCAATTTTGAGATTTTGTTTTTATTTTCAAATAAAAAGTCAAGTGTAAAAAGGTACCAAAAAAGAAGTTATGAACATTTTTATTAGAGTTTAAAAAGCAGTTAACATCAAAAGTAGATTAAAAATAGACTAATCAGTGATAAAAGTGAAATTTCCAAAGGCTTTCAGAAAATCTATATACTCTAGGCTTTCTCCTTCCTTCCTTCCTTCCTTCCTTCCTTCCTTCCTTCCTTCCTTCCTTCCTTCCTTCCTT